CTTCTAAAGAAATAAACATATACACGCTCGTCGAAACGAGCTAACATAAACATATTGTTATTTTTAGTGGCCTTGGTTCAAGCCGAAATCATAAGCTCAATATCAACATCGTAGAGACCTCGCCCGACGTAAGAAATTAACTACTTTTTCTTGATAATCACATCTTTTTTTTCTTTTTGGAAAGAGAGGTAGCCCTCGATTTATTTGTTCAACAGTCATATCCCACCATTTATTTAGAAGCTTAGCTCTTTTGCGTATTTTTTTCGTGTTAATTATTTTTTGTACTTGTTCTTTTTTCATTTAATAAAAATTCCACTTATCTTTTATATTGATCTTCATATTACTAGTAGTCATATAAGACAAAAAAAAGTAGAATACAAATATTAATTAGAAATCAGACCCTACTTTTAATTTTTCTTTTATAAATACTCTTTAAAATGTCAATTTCATATATCTTGATTTCTCTGTGGATAAAAAGAAAAACAACACCCATCCCACTCAGATACTAAAACTTCTTGAGAAAGTAGTTTCAAACGAATAGTACGGATTTCTCTCTCTAGGGGCGCTCCGTGTCTGTATCTCTTTAACATTCTCACTGCGTATCGCTTCTCATTTCGCAGACTTCTTTATTCGCAGGCTGTCTCTTCGCAGTTTCGCACTGGAAGACTTTCTTTCTCTCGTGGTGATATATGTCTTCCTCTTATCCTCCTCTGTTCGACGCTCATTTGCCTCCATCCACCTCTCTAACGCTTGTCTACCTCTTTCTCTCTGCTTTGCCCCTCTTCAATTCTACTCGACTACTCTCTTTTTCTGTCTCCCTTACCTTTCTCCTTCGAACATCCCCACGTACTTCTTTCTATCATTTATCTCTCTGGTTCTTGTCGTTGTCACTCTCTTTCACTGAAATGACACCCTCTTTCTAACTTGCAATCATCTCATCCGTAACTCATTGTAATTATACAAATAAGGTGTGCAATCGATAGCGCTCATCGAATTCTATCTTGGACTACTCTTGGTCAAACTTGGTATGATCTCTAAAGAGAGTCAAAAATTAAATTAGTAAATATACTAGTATACAATTACTAACAAGACTTTTTCTCCTCTATAATATATCGAAATTTAGAAAATGAAATATGCAATCGATAGAGCTCGCCGAGTTCTATCTTGGACTAGCATTAGTCAAACTTAGTCTAATCTTTAAAGGGGTGGAGGTGGGTGTGGGTGCTATATTCTCACTATATCGGCAATTATGCCAACACCCACACCCATGTAATCTCTACTACCTATGGACACAAGAAAAAACTCCTATTGTTACAAGATATTACATATATTTATTGGATTGATACAAAATCTTATAAACATTAAAAATAATAGCATTCTTGTTTGTGGTTGTTACCGTTAGTAATGATATTCATCAATCAGTTATTTTCAGTTCTATATTATTTTCGCATATTTTCTGAAGTCATTCAACTGCATCAAGATCGTTTTCTTTGTCGTAAACGGTGAGTGTGGTGAGTGTCTGCGTTAAAAATGTGTGAATGATAAAGTGAAATCAAGAGAAAGAAGAGCAAGTAATGTTGTTACTTTATTGATTAGCAGAGCATTGTTAAGATGTTGTACTCCTTCATCACTGATTTTATTGTTATAAAGATTGAGTGTGGTAAGTGTCTGTATGGAAAGTGCGTGAATGATGATGTGAAGTGAAGTGGAGTGGAAGAAGAACAAGTATTGTTGTTACTTTGTTGATTTTTAGAGCATTAGCAATATCTTCTGCTCCTTGATCACCGATAACATTGTGTTCGAGGTTGAGTGTGGTGAGTGTCTGTGTGAAAAGTATATGAATGCTGAAGTGAAGTGAAGAGGAAGAAGAATAAGTAGTGTTATTACTTTGTTAACTTTTAGAGCATTGGCAAGATCTTCTGCTCCTTGATCACCGATTGCATTGCGGTCGAGGTGGAGTTTGATGAGTGTCTATGTGAAAGTTTGTGAATGATGAAATCAAGTGAGGAGGAAGAAGAACAAGTATTAGTTTTACTTCGTTGACTTGTAGAACATTTGCAAAATATTGTGTTCCATGATCACGGATATTATTCCAACCGAGATTGAGTGCGACGAGTGTCTGTGTGGAAAATGTGTGAGTGACGAAGTGAAGTAGAACAAGTATGGTTGTTACTTTGTTACTGTGTAGAGCATTGACAAGATCTTGTACTCCTTGATCACCGATTGCATTGCACTGAAGGATGAGTGTGGTGAGTGTCTGTGTGAGAAGGGTGTAGATGATGAAGTATAGTGAAGAGGAAGAAGAACAAGTATTGTTGTTACTTTGTTGAATTTTAAAGCATTAGCAAGATCTTGTGCTCCTTTAGCACCAACTTTATTGTATCTGATGTTAAGTGTAGTGAGTGCCTGTATGAAAGGTGTGTGAATGATGAAGTGAAGTGAAGAGGAAGAGGAACAAGTATTGTTGTTACTTTATTGATTTGTAGAGCATTGGCAAGACCTTGTGCTCCTTGAGCGCCGATTTTATTGTATCCAATGTTAAGTGTGGTGAGTGTCTGTATGATACGTGTGTGAATGATGAAATCAAGTGATGAGAAAATGGAACAAGTACTGTTTTTACTTTATTGATGTGTAAAGCATTGGCAAGATCTTGTGCTCCTTTAGCACCGATTTCATTGGAGCTAAGATTGAGGTTGGTGAGTGCCTGTGTTAGAAGTGTGCGAATGATGAAATGAAGTGAATAAGAAGAAGAACAAGTATTATTGTTACTTTGTTGATTTGAAGGGCATTCATAAGATACTGTGCTCCTTGATCACCGATACCATTGTGTCGGAGATTGAGTGTGATGAGTGTCTGTATGAAAAGTGTGTAAATGATTAAAGTGAGGTGAAGAGAAAGAAGAACAAGTATTGTTGTTACTTTGTTGATTTGAAGAGCATTCGCAAGATCTTCTGATCCTTGATCACAGATATTATTCCAACCGAGCTCGAGTGTGATGAGTGTCTGTGTGGAAAGTGTGTGAATGATGAAATGAAGTGAACAGGAAGAAGAACAAGCACTGTTGTTACTTTATTGATTTTTAAAGCATTGGCAAGATCTTCTGCTCCTTGATCACCGATTCCATTATTTTCGAGGTTGAAGGTGGTGAGTGTCTGCGTGAAGAGTGTGTGAATGGTGAAGTGAAGTGAAGAGGTAGAAGAACAAGTATTGTTGTTACTTTGTTGATTTTCAGAATATTGGCAAAATGTTGTGCTCCTTGATCACCGATTCCTTTGTTTTCGAGGTTGAGCGCGGTGAGTGTCTAAATGGAAAAGTTCATGTAAAGACATGACATAAATAGAAAGTGAATGAGACTGATTGTGTTGTAGTGTAACGCATCAGCCAGAGATTGTGCTTTAATATTTCTGATTGGATTCCTCGAGAGATCTAGCGTGGTGAGTGTCTAGATGAAAAAGCGGAGAGAAAGACATGGTACAAATGAAGAGACAGAATAGCTGGTTGATATTACATGGGGTTAGGATAGTGAAATTAGTGTTGTTCTGATGGACGGTTAAAAGTATGAACTTTTACACGATTTTTTATGCTGCACAGTGTGCAATCATATTTTTGTGAAAACTCAGACTGAAAATAAGTTACCAAGGCTGAATTAGAGATACAAAGCTTTTATCTAGGTGTTGTTTTAGTTTGTAAATATTTGCGAAAGAAGGAAATACATTTTGGTTAATGAAAAGGAGTTTGTAAGCTAGTTCTGGGGAAAACAATTGCGAAAATAGTATTATGTACTCAAATGGCAATGTATTGTAGTGAATGATTTAGAGCCTAGTAAAGTATGGTGCAGCGCTTGTTAGTATTCTTTAGGTATAACGAAAGATAATTTCTGGTTGATAGTTAACGGGCAGTTTTCTTCATAGTCATTATTAGACTCGATATCTGTCTTACATCAAAACTCTGCATGAGTTATTGAACTTGGTATTATTGATGTGTATGATTTCTATAAGTGGTTGCTTTCGATGTACCTATACGGTTGTGTTCATGCAGCTGCATTGATTTATAAAAAGTGAAAAATTAGTTAAATAATTTATTCCTCAATGTTAGACTCATTATGAGAAAAAGGCGAATACATGCTAAAACGTCATATAAGACAATAGCGCTGGCGAATCATTCTCTAAAGTACGTCCTTGATAAACCGTGCTTTAAATAAAATCCGTTCCGGCGCAACTTTTTTTGGTAGAAAATTTGCTTTAAAAGTAGTATTTTTTGGAGAAATATTCCATCTTGGTAGTATGAGTTTGATTGTTGTTGCTGTGAGTCAATTTCGCCTGCATGCACAGCCATCAGCATTCTCAGTCGGACATGCTCTTGAAGGAGTATTTGTCGGAAGTATTTTTCAAGGAAGTATCGAAGAGATTATTTATAACAAGACAAACTAATTTATCGGCGGTTGATTTTTTTTCAAAAGCTAATTTTTTTATGGAAGTGGTATTTTAAAAAAAGCTGTGTACATACAGTAGAAACGCAAATAATAATTTTTTATCTCTTTCTGTTGTTCTTATCTAAACATCGTATGCTTATGATATCATACCTAGTTTGAAACGTGGAATATTCAAATGAGATTGAATAGAAAGAAAACAAGGAATCGGTTTTTCTTATTATCAGGTCACTATGTTTCGTATTATCATATTATATGTGAATTTTTAAGGAGAGAGTTATAACTGATGAATTATTTTGAGTGACAAATAGTTTATTCCCATATGTTTTATTGAGATCATTCTACTTGCATAGAGATTGTAGGAATGAAAAATCATTCGAGAGTTAACGGATAAAAATTAGGCGATCATGATAGAGAAAAATTTACCTGATATCGATCATAGCTGTGTAGAATGCTGTTGAACCGCTGACATACGTTTGTCATGGAACACAGCATTGTAAAATCCGATTGCTGGTCAATAATTCGGTAGACAAGTTCTACCGGTAATGTAAGAAAATTGGTCATTGTAGTTTGTTGAAGAAAGGTATGCTTCGTAGTCGTATATGTTGGTTATATATATTGTTCTCTATCTTATCATTAGATGAGTGAATATTTGTTTTGTTTCATAGATTTTACATGTTGTCGGAAGAAAAAAAACGAAAAAGAATGATATCAACTAGAAAATGACAGAATCGAGATAATAAGTATAAGCAACGTTTTTGTTAAGATTGTCTTATCGATGTAAAATGATACATAATAGACATGAATATTGTATTCCCGGTTATAGTCAGCAAAGATTAAATGATTTTCTTTGTTATTTTTATTGTTCAAAATCTGTATTGTTATATGATCGTAAAATCAAATAGACATATTTTATAAGATGGGCTGGGTGTAGATGAAAAGCAAATATATCTACATCCACCCACCCTCACCCACACCCTTAATTTATTTCACGACCAATTTTAAAAATATAAATATTCTAGTTGTTTCACTGTACTTTTATATAATAATGTATGAAAATATCAATGATCTTGAGATTTTAATTACTTTGAATGAAAAATAATTTTATGAGGTCATGAAATGAATTTATAACATTCATGTATATAATTATGATGAATAACATGATGCGTATGATTATATGGCTATTTTTTGTTCGTATTTTATGTAAAAACTTGTTGTAATATTTGTTATTTAATGTCGTTAAAGGTTGATAATGATCGAAAAAAGATCGAAAATTTTCAAAAAATTAGATTTCAACATAAAACTACATAAAATTACTTTTTATTCAAATTAATTAACCCTACTAATATCGTGCATGGGCATTTTCGTTCATATGTGTATAAAATACTTAATTTTCGGTGAAAAACTGAACTAATCAGTATCAGCTTTTTAGAATGTAAACTTTTGAAGCTCTACCATCTGCTGAATATTTCCTTTTCATAAAAATTTTACTTTTTCTTGGAAAAAGTTCATGTGATAGTATGATTTACTTATATATGTTATTTTTCTGTCTTCTCATATATTTTTCCATCTATTATACCGTATATATTATTATGATAAAGCTTTGATTTGGCACCAAATGCTACAAATGCGACATATATTTGTATAAAGTGCATAGTTGCGTGAAATGTGTGGCGATATTCCTAATATGTCAGATTAATTAAATATATTAATGATAAAATTGACTAGAGTCGAATTTTCTATGATTTATATTTATGGACAGAAATATCCATGCATGGTATTGGAAGGATTCATATATATCATCTCTTATATTGAACTATCACAAGAAAAAAATTATTATTTTATATAATTACACATGATATTGTTTCATTATTTATTAATAGACCCTGAAAAAAGTGATATATATATATGTTCAGTTATGTTAAAAATATGTGATACTTGTTATAATATGGCTCATCACATTGTTTTGTTCTAATAGTTGTTATACAAACATTCAGTTCAATAATATATTTTTATTTAAAATCGGAAACTGTAGCTGTAGTACACTAAATGTATTTTTTTTATACGAGTGATAATGAACATTATTTTTATTGTTATTTTGTGATATTATTGTGATCTTTTTTCTCTTTTGTTTTGCATAAAATAGAAATACTAAAAATAAAATTATTTCATATGTGCAAACTATAGAAAATTTTTGTTAACAACAAATGTACATAAATTTATAAAAAAAGACCACGGATTATGTTTGCGATGTAACTTTTGATATACACAATATCAAGTAGAAATGACGTATATTAAGCGTGCAGCGAAGACACAAAGTTTAGAAATATCTAGACAACTTCATATGTTACTACATAAGATAATCTACAACATCATATATAAGAAATATGACGGCTAGAAGAAAAAGAGAAATTATACAGATTTCAAGGAAAGTCTCATACTTCCTACTCTATGGCTATATGATATGTGCATGGTATTATATATTGTATCTGTCAAGTTATCGAGAAGTTTTTGAGATTTTTTCATTAAGTGGACGTATTTTTAATATTATTTCTATTACTTGTTGTTAATGGGGAATTGAAAATTTCGGAATTTGCTAAAATTTGTTCTGAGTGGAGATCTAAACATGCCTCGTCCAAACGGTTATCGATTCACCGTTTCAAATGAATATCGTTTTAAGGTTTCATCGATCAAAATGGTTATCGATTCACCGCTTCACCGATTCAAACGGTTATCGTCTCAACATTTCATCGGTCAAAACGATAATTGATTCACCGCTTCACCGATTCAAAAGTTTATCGTTTCACCGGTTCATTAGTTCAAACGGTTACTGGTTGGGTACGGTTATCGGTGAACCGGCTATCATCACTTTTCTATCCCTAGAAAAAGTGATAAAAATATTTGTAAATTGATTGATTTTTATTTCAATTAAGACATTTTCCATAAATGCGTATATGTAACGAAGAATCAATAAAGTAAAACTACTATTTACTTAAGATGTTTTATACATGTTAATAATTAAATGTATGTAAGAATATGATATAACTTATTTCTAGTCACTTTCGTATAATTTTGTTTGAGTCGATTATGTAATGGACTATATGATTGATTTAGAATAAGACAAATCTATCGTATTTATCTAGTTTTTTTCATTTTTTAGCAATAGTATCATCATATCAATGGTCAGATTCAATAATATTCTAACTGGAATATATTATATGTTGTGCTATGTATTTGTATTATCATGTATTGTGTACATTCTTTTGCAATTCTATCGTACTATACTCATATCTAAACTCACAAAATCATCAGATAATAAAATCGCAAAGAATAATACAACATATTACTATAATCACTCATCATCTTATAATAAAACTAATTTGGAACCTGTTATGGAATATTCCTTATTACATTTACAAGGAATTATCCCATATATATATTCTTTTTTTCTTTTCTATATATGTGATTTTCTTTCGTTCTGTTGCATGTCCTCGATATGTCTCTTTTGGTATTTTCCTAGTTAAGTTTCTTATATATATAACTCAGGTATTTTTCCATAAGATGACATGGGAAATATCCAGCTAGTCTATATATATATAGAGATTATGTTTTACGTGAGAGTGTGTGTGAATTAGTTAGTTGTTAAACTCGTTACTTATCAAATAAACTATTTAACAGAAAAGAGATCTAACAATTGGTGCACCGGCCGGCTGTTGTCAAGTATATGTCAAATACCATTTTTACTAGATCACAAGTACCAACGTTTGAAAACGAAATTAAAAGAATTAGTGATATTAAAGTAGAACAAACAAATAATTTAACTGATCCTTATCAACAATATATTGTATATCAAGCTCAACTATATCAATTTAATATGGATGAAAAATTAACTATTTCATTATTAACAAGTTCAAGTGATAAATTACCAAAATTTAGTGGAAAAATTCTGAGAATGTAATTAAATGGCTTACAAAAATTACGAATGAATTAAATGTATTCAAACTGTCTGATGCTCAAAAATTACTTATGATTCCATTAGTATTATTAGATGATGCCCGTCAATGGTATGTTAATAATTTGGATGCAGTAAAAGATTGGACAACGTTTACAAGAGAAATACAAAACGCATTTTCATCACCAGTTCATCGAAGTTTAGCTATTAAGCAAATTGGTAATCGTGTTCAAGGACTGGAAGAAACAGTTTTGCATTATTATCATGAAATGATGGAATTATGTGATATGATTGATCACGAAATGAAAGATGAACTCAAAGTTGGTTATTTATTAGCTGGTATCAAATTGTCATTACAAAAAGAAGTTATGAGAAGAAATCCAAGAAATCCAAATGAATTTTTAAATGTCGCGCAAGCTGAAGAAAAATTAGACTTATCGATTAATGTTCAAACAAGTTATGATTCAACACTTATAACGGATTCATTATCAGCGTTTAAACCACAAATTAAATCGTCATTACCATACAAATCAACAAATACACAAAAATCGATACGATGCTTTAATTGTCAGAAAATTGGTCATATTGCAAGAAATTGTTTTTTGAAAAAACTACTAGCGGGAGCGAATGATGGTACCGCTCTCGTTAATGTACATCATCCATCCTTAATAATCATACCAACATGGATCAATAATATGAAAATAAATGGAATGGTAGATACGGGAGCAACATCTTCATTAATAACAACGTCGACAGTTAACAAACTCAAATTACAACAGGAAATTGTTTTACAATCAGGTGAAGTTATATTAGGAGATTCAAGAACAAAAATAATGCAATATGGTCGGATTTATTTAAGATTAAAAATTGATGAAGTAGAATTTGGAATTGAAGCAATTGTCGTTGATCAATTAACAAACGAATTGATATTGGGAGTAGATTTTTTAAGAAAATTTCAAGTGGAAATAAAAGTGGCACAACAATATCTTGTACTTCAGAATCAACAACAACGAATTTATACAAAATTTGGTGGTTTAAATAATGTTCGATTAACTCAGCAATATACAATATTTCCAAGATGTAAACGGGTGGTGGAGGCTGTGGTAGATGGGATAATAGATAACAAGGAAATGTATTTGAAAGTAATGGCATTGAAACAACAACAAGCAGCACGTATTCGTCTTTGTGATGGTCTGGTGGATATAAATAATGGTTATGTACAAGTTACTATATATAATCCAACTAGTCAAAGTGTTATTCTTCAGAAGGCTATGGTTATTGGTGAAGTTGATGTCTTGAAGACTGGTGAATGCTGTTCAGTATTGGAGTCAACAAATACAATGGAAGATTTTAATGTTGATCAAAACCCAAAGGATAATCCAATACCAATCAATCAAATTGTTGATTCCTTGACTCATCACTTATTGGATAATAATGAATATTATCAACAAATATATCAGTTGGTGGAACAAAACAAAGTTTTATTTGATATTAGTCAACATCGTACAATTAAAGCAACAATTCATCACGTCATAAATACAGGTGATCATGCTCCTATCTCAGCAAAACCGTATTTTAAAACCATCGAACAAAGAAAAAATATTCAACATGAAGTTGATAAAATGTTACGTGCTGGTATAGCGATACCCTCAACATCTGAATGGTCTTCGCCGGTGGTGTTGTTAACAAAACCGGACGGAACTTTTAGATTTATAATTGATTATAGGAAATTAAATGTTATAACAAAGAAAGATGTTTTTCCGCAGCCATCGATCGAAGAACTTGTTCAACGTTTGGGCGGCCATTCTTGGTTTACCAAAATCGATATGAAAGCCGGATACCATCAGATCCCGATTCAACATAAAGACAAGGAAAAAACCGCCTTCGTGACTCAGGACGGTCTGTATCAATTCGAAGTTTTACCCATGGGGTTAACCAACGCCCCAGCTTCTTTTCAGAGGTTGATGCACAATATAATTGGTTACAATAGATGGGATTACACATGCGTATATCTTGACGATGTAATAATTTTCTCAAATTCGTTTGAACAACACATGAATCATCTACAGGAAATCTTTCAAATACTTAAAGATCATAACTTTACATTGAATCCAAACAAATGTTCAATTGCTCAACAATCTATTGAATTTTTAAGTCACACAATTACTCAAGATTCTATTGTACCATTAAAAGAAAGGATTCAAGCGATTTTGAATATTCCACAACCAACGACATTAGCACAAGCTAACAAATTCATTGGCAAAATTGGGTGGTATAGGAAATTCATTCCTAAATTTTCGTCGATAGCTGCTCCAATTCATAGAGTAACGAATAAAATTAAAAGTAAACGAAAAGATTTTTTTTGGGGAACCGAACAAATTGAAGCTGCTGATAAACTTAAAGAAATTTTAACAACTCAACCATTGGTTTTAAAGTATCCACATCCAACAGCACAATTCATATTGTCAACAGATGCATCTGATTACGCTATTGGAGGAACATTGAAACAAATAATAAATGGACAAACACATTATAATTATTTTTTATCACGATTGTTATCGGATACTGAAAAAAGATATTCCACTATTGAACGTGAAGCATTAGCTATATTTTGGTGTCTAAATAAACTACAACAATATTTAGGAGGTAGAGATGTATTGATTATAACTGATCATAAACCATTACAACAATTTCATATTAAAATGAAAATCAATAGCAAGAGAATAAATGACTGGCTTATTAAAAATCAAGAAATTTTATCACAAATTATTGAAGTACAATATCGAAAAGGAAGTCAGCATGGAGATGCAGATGGAATGTCACGACCTGATCTTCAAGATTCGATGGAAACTTTGAATGCTATTACTCGTTCAAAGACAAAAATTAATGATCAATCATTATTATCAAGTAATAAAGATATATTAGATCCACCACATAATAATAGTAGATCGATAACAACATCACCGACATTTGATTTCAGTTTAGCAAGAATTAGTGCTGAACAACAAACCGATCCATATCTAAGCAATATATGGAAACAAAGTCTTGAGAATAAATGGGATGATAATCGATATATGGTAGAGAATAAAGTTTTGTACAAAGTAGTACAACCAACATCAATGAAAACACAGTTAAAATTAATTTGCATTCCAAAATCCATGCAACTAGAAGTAATTCAATGTTATCATGATCATCCAACTGGCGCTCACTTTGGTATAAATAGAACATGGTTTAAAGTTCGTCAAGTTTGTTATTGGCCTAGGATGAAGGAAATTATAAATGATTATATAAGATCTTGTGAAAAATGTGCTAAGTATAATGTTCGTCGAAGTAAACCACCTGGACATTTAAATCCAATAGAATATCCACAAGGACCATTGGAATTAGTATCAATGGACTTTTGGGGTCCAACACCTCAATATTCAACAAATGGTAATAAATATGTATTAGTAATAACGGATTATTATACAAAATATGTAGTTGCAACACCACTTCCAAATAATACTGCAATAACAACAGCAAAATGTTTCGTGGAACATTTTATTTTTAAATTTGGTACTCCACGACGATTGATCACAGATCAAGGAGTGCATTTTAATAATGAATTAATGAAGAATGTAACTGAACTACTTGGCACAAATCATATTCAAGCAACTGCATATCATCCTCAATCAAATGGGTTAACGGAAAGGTTTAATAGTACGTTTCATACACAATTAGCAAAATTTCAAAATGATGACCTAAGTGATTGGGATGAATTTCTGGGAGCCGTGACATATGCATATAATACTGGTATACAAAGTACTACGAAGTATAGTCCTTTTCAATTAATGTTTGGTAGACGTCCAGTTCTACCGCTTGATCATACTTCTGCAGTAACACATTTTGATCGACCGAATGATTATTGGCGTAAGTTGATGAAATGGATGAATATTTACAAAAAAACTGCACAACAACAAATTCAACTTCAACAACAACGAACAAAACAACGTTTTGATGCACATCGTACTGATCAGCAGTTTCAAATTAATGATTTAGTTTGGTGGAAAATTCCTGGTATCAGAGGTAAATTTCAACAGCGTTTTTCTGGTCCATTTATAATTATTAAATCACAACATCCATCATATACTATTCAAGATTCGGAAACAACAGCTATTAAACATGTTCACGTTAGTGATCTCAAGTTAGTTTATCCTCGATGTTAGATCTGTAGGACCTGGGTCAAACTATTGAAGTAATTTTATTCGCAGAATTAAGGGTTATCAATCAATGACAATGGTAGTGGCAATACCGGAACATTGAACGATGGAGTTTTACGATGAACGTGGAAGTTCATCTTAAAGTTATAGGGGAGGTGTTATGGAATATTCCTTATTACATTTACAAGGAATTATCCCATATATATATTCTTTTTTTCTTTTCTATATATGTGATTTTCTTTCGTTCTGTTGCATGTCCTCGATATGTCTCTTTTGGTATTTTCCTAGTTAAGTTTCTTATATATATAACTCAGGTATTTTTCCATAAGATGACATGGGAAATATCCAGCTAGTCTATATATATATAGAGATTATGTTTTACGTGAGAGTGTGTGTGAATTAGTTAGTTGTTAAACTCGTTACTTATCAAATAAACTATTTAACAGAAAAGAGATCTAACAGAACCAAACGTCTCTTTGTATTATCATCATGCAACTTCAGGTCGAAATTCGTCTTATCCTTTTATTAGTGGTGATACATTTCGAGCTTTTTCTGATTATATATATGATGAAACAAGAAAAGATAATTTAAGATCAGTAAAATATGGTGAAATTATTTTTGTGAAAACCGATATGCTTCGAAGATTTTTTACTTCACGATTTATATCTATACGAGAACCATTTGTACTTATTACACATAATAGTGATGATTCTGCACCAGGAAGATATATCAGATATTTAAGAAATCCCAAAGTACTTCATTGGTATGCTTCCAATCTTAATCAAAAAAATCTTCAAAAAATATCTCCTATTCCAATTGGATTAGCTAATATACGATGGGTGCATGGTACTTTAGATAAAATAGCATTTGCTCTTAAAAACCATCGAAAACCTTGGTCTCAACGAACAACTTTTCTTTATGTTAATTTTGCCGTTGATACAAACATCGATCAACGAACAAAAGCTCTGTCACAAGCATCCACAATACAAAATGTGCAAATAATGAAAGAAAGAATTAAATTAGAATCTTATTTAGAGCAGATAGGTAATTCCAAATTTGTTTTATCTCCACCTGGCGGTGGAATAGATTGTCATCGAACATGGGAAGCTTTATTAATGGGTGCAGTACCTATTGTTCTGACATCTGGACTTGATCCTTTATTTACGAAATCAAGATCTATTATTATTGATGATTGGTCAAAACTGTCGTACAATTTTTTATCATCATTCAATTCTTCGTTAGATGATGACTATGTACCTGATGTTTTATATGCTGATTATTGGCGTCAAACACTTTTTAAACATCGAAAGAAAGTTAATTAATATATACCATTCCTTTTGTTGACTTATCTCGAGGAAAAGAGTTATCATTTTATATAATTACACATGATATTGTTTCATTATATATCAATATACCCGGAAAAAGGAAAGTGATATATATATACTCAATTATGTTGAAAATATGTAATACTTGTTATTGTGTGGCTCATCACATTGTTTTGTTCTAATAGTTGTTATGCAAACATTCAGTTCAATAATATATTTTTATTTAAAATCTGTAGCTGTAGTTGCAGTACAGTAAATGTATTCTTTGTATACAATTAATAATGAACATTATTTAAAGAAACAATTAAAAAATCTTTTTATTATTATTTTATGATATCATTGTGATCTTTTTTTTTCTTTTATTTTGCGTAAAATAGAAATACTGAAAATAAAAGTATTTCATATGTGTTAAGCATAGGAAATTTTTGTGGAGAGACGAAGTATCAGTCTGTACTCTCTGTATAACAGAATAATTTTTTTTGTGACAACAAAGGGTGTGGGCCGGGTCTGGGTGAAGAAAAGATGAAGCCGCATCCACACACCCTCAAGATGGTATGAGATTGTTTTTAATGTACTGTCTATTTATTAATAATAAATTTGGTGATCAAAATTATTCATACCCAATATTTTACTATATTATTGATGAGTCTGACATTTGTAATGATTTTACCAAAATAATGAACCTAAATTCTAATGAAATAAAATATTCTATAATTTAGTTTATATAATATTTATATACATTATCAATACTTAATCAATTAGAAAAATATAATATAATATAAACAGCTTAAAAATAATATGAATATTTATGCTTTTGTATAGTTTACACAAGACTAATTATAATTCAATTGGATTTTGAAAAATCTTTTCGTTTATCTTTATTTAATTATTTTTTTTTGTTTAAATCGATCAAACAGATAAATTGATTGTTAAAGAATGAAATTAAACTAAAGAGTTTGAATGTATTTTAAGAAGATCAAATATAACATCAGTTTTGAATGCTTTATAATCTAAAATACTCAAGATTTGAACTATAGCGTTGTCTTATTTAAAAATATGTAATATATCTTTATTTTATTCTTTCAAATATTTCACGCCATTGATTCTGTAAAGTTTTTGCTAAATTTCCATTGTATATCTTCATGTTTTGACTAACTTCAGCTAGATTCGTATTAATTAATTTTATAGCAAGATCATCAATAGAGTTAAAATGAATTATATGTGGCCATTGATAAAAATCAGCAAATTGTAACCAATAACGTATTGCATTTCGATCAAATTCATTATTTGGATCAGGAATATCAGAACTTAAAACACCTGATATAGCCGAGGAATTTTTGAATTGTCCTGATGTTCCACTCCAAGTTCGTTCCCCAACAACACGATAATTATAATGCCATTCAGTTAAAAGATCAAGTGATGGAAAAAATAATGGAATATTCATTCTATATTGTTCAAATAAACTCATAGTTGATACTTGATATGGAACATAAATTATCGCAGGATGTTGAACCAGTTGACGATATGAATAATGTTTGTATACTTCTCGTAGATATTTTACATTTATGGATACTTTTAAACGTTCCAGTGAGTTTGTTAAATTTGACTTAAATAAAGTTCTAAATATTTCGTTACGTATAGGTGCAATAAGGAAAGGTTTCTGTTTTCTTCTCGAATATGTCGCACGTGTATAACCACATAATGATGTTAAAACAATTGCTTTAATTCCAGTAAAATATCGAATATATTCTGCATCATATAAATTATTTCCAGCTATGATATTCCTAGTAAATCAATAAAAAGCGATTATGTTTTTTAGAACTTATATATTGATGTTCAACTCCATAGTCATCATTTTCTGTGTTAAAACCGAAGTTTCTATGATATCATGTATACTTAACTAAATCCTAAATTATAACTGTTTAATCTCATAATTACTATTCATTTTTTATAGTCATCTCTATGAACTTTGTTTCTTTATTTTAATACTCTCAGGCAAACTTTCTATGTTATTTTATTTATAAGAAGTGAATTTCTTTTTATTCAAAATTGCTCTTCGTAGTTTATTCGACTAGAATAGAATAATTTGTGATATCATTTTTTTGATGATCTATATTTATTAATATTAAGTTGTAAATGTTTTATACATTTATTAAAGATATATAATCGAAGTACAAAGATAAAATTATTATTAAATTATATTTTAGATATTTTCACCTTAAGAATATAGAATAAATAAATAGCTACTAAAATGATACAACTCAGGTCAAAAGTAACGGCGATGTAAACGACCGTACACGATATAAAACGACAAAAACCGTTGTTTTATCGTCGCCGTCTCCGATAGTCGAAATGATCGTCCCGGGAAATATATAGGTAAATCAATTCTTAATTATATCGTTTTATTTATAAGAACTACTCAAATGTTTTACATTACTGTGATTTACTATGTCGAATCAATGCACATTTTTATCTATCTATTCTAATTATAGAAAATATCGATTAGATATTATATTAACACTTACCGAGGATTCGAAGCTATAATACGAAGATTATTATTCAGATTTTCCCATTCTTCTTTTTCATGTCTTCCTAACTCATATCGAGTTGAAGCAATAATAATCATTGTTCGATTAAATGGCATAAATAATTCACACATTCCTACAGGATGAAAACACATAAAAATATTGACTTGGTTCATTTCTGAATCATTCTTATAAACTTCATAAAATTGTTTTCGTTGAGTAAAACTAGGAGACATTCCATTTGTTTTATTTAATATTTTCAAATTTTTTGCACATGTATCAGTGTGTCCGCAAGCACCTGATAAACTTTTGTCGATAAATGCAATATCAAATGATGCAAGTTGATGTTTAATATCTCTTATTGGACTATAATTAAACAAAAGAAAATATATAAAATAGAAACAATCTTAGATAAGAAAGAGATGAGAATATCTATTAATAGATATTTCACAATTGAAAAATAGAAATGATTCTTTAGTTTTCTTGTCAAACTCAAACAAAAATCTTCTTTAATTGATCAATTTTAATAGTCATTTATAGAAGATATCACTCTGAGTTTTTTTATTCTACGAAATGTATATTTTAAAAGAATTTCTCTTTTCATTCTAACAGTGCAACATGTAAAAAATGAAATTTGTGCCTATATCTAGCAAAGGTAGTCTGATCGTGAACGTTTGTTAATGAATATTATATATAACAAACTATAAGATCATCTATAATACTGTGTCATCAAATGTCATTATGTATACATTTTGTATTATTAACTAGTCGGTGAATAGTATAAATATTTATCGTTTCGGGTACAATTAAATGATATTAATAGGATATATATATATATATATATATTTCTTATAAATATAGATATTTAAGAAATTTCTCTTAATTGATTTGATATGATTAACTCATTATTATCATACCGATTAATTTAATTTATTTTTGAAAAATAGGAAATTCATTCAAATAATTCTCACTTACTTTCATGGCACCCAGGGCAAAGACAACGGCGACGTAAACGGCCTTAAATGTGGTAAACCGGTAAAATACGGCGAAAAACAGCCCGTATTCTGGGTTGACGGATTACGCTGAAATACGACTAAAAATAAGGCAGTAAAACGCCGTTTTATAGTCGTTTTAGGCCGCTTAAGATGTCGTTTCTGATGATCGGAATGACCGTCCTGGGTAAGTTCAAACTAATAATTATTATAAAGTTTGTAATACCTTATGTGAAAGTCATTGCTCCATACAACAAATCTATTTTTAAACAATGGAACATGTTTTGGTTTTTTTAATAAAACATTTAGTATTAATATAAGATAGACAACACAGCCAAATAACAGTATTATTTTGTAAAATAGTGACACGCATCGATGAAATGGAATCCAACACATATTTTATAAGATACAGCTGATATAGTTTTATATTGTTAAATCAGATGCTCAGGGTTGTAATAAAATATACTTTATTAGAAATTTGTTCAGATTATTGAAGATTACATAATTATGCACTCCCTATTGTACGTAACTCAGTCAACCATGATCATATTCATCGAAAGAATAAAAGAAAAGGTGTGATAAAAATTAATATTGTGCGTCTGAATAAAGAATATAGAAGCGAACGAGCCAAGGCAAGCGTATAATCAAAAAGGATAATATACACTTATATTAACCATCCTTTCAAAGCCTTTTTGATCATGATTATATTTTTTCTCGATAAACAAAAGTTAATAATCACGTAGAACTTTTTAATAAATCTATTTTTATCAATCTAATTTATATTTATATTTCAGTCTATGTCAAAAATTCTTTTTTTAAATCTGTTTAATAAAATGCAAATGAAACTTTTTTTTTATGTTTAATCAAATCAATAATGAAATTTATTGAATTAGTAAATATTAACTTTTAATTGTCGAAAACTGTTCACACAGATAGAATTACTAACTTAATTATCATACAATCAGAAAGAAAATGATTCATCAATTGAAGTAATCATGCTACCATTATGTATATCTTTTTGTTTAAATTCAAGTTAAGCTGTGAAAATGATCTTCTAAGATTAATATATAGATTTTACCACGATGATTGAAGCAGTTAAAAAACTGTATGTTAGGAATATTCACCAAGGTATTTTCTTATCTCTGATTCAATTACATACTATTGATTGTTGTTTTGAAAAAATATAAATTGATTTACTCAAGTAATTCTAGACATTAGATAAAATCGTGTGTGTGTGTTACATTATAGACATAAATCTGCATTTGAAAAGAAGAAAATGCTGAGCGCACGAAATATCATTCATTTCAATCCTCTTATACAGTCTCAACGAAAAATCATAATTATTTTAATCCTGATTTCGATGGTAAATATCATTATATAAGTACTTATTGCAATGAAAAATCACTGTGTATATATATATAGGGAATAGGTATATTCTACTTTATTCTCGAGAACATCACACTGGTATCTCAAGTAAACACATACAATAGGGATCTCATGACAATAACTAATGAAAAATTTAATAAACTGGACCAAATTTTTCACGAAAGTAAGTTGATTTTATTGACGATCACGAGTGTACAACAGAAAATGTGATCAGGTTCTCAGAGTTTTCAATCTCTTGATGAAAATTCATTTGAAAATTAACTTCGTCGTCGATGACGAAACAATTCTTTCTCATTCTAATAGATGCTTTCTACATGGCTATGGAATGTGTTACACTTTATTTTGTAATTCAGCTTGATTATACTGGCATATTAATAGTGAGTAACGAATTAATTTTGATTCAGTGCAAATCTCTACCTCGATTATTTTTTACGAAATAGTTCCTATGGCTTGATGTCATTTGGATGATCTTCGGTTTTGCAGCTGGGTTGTTTAAGATTATTCTTATTAAACAATCATTTACGTATGATACCCATCAACATCACGATGTATCATTTTCTCTCGATGTTATTAATAAAATTATGCTGGTAATTGACTTGAGTAATCTGGTACTATGGGTATGTAAATATTTTTGAGTCCCGGATCGCACAGTACCGCACGAAACTGATCGCGAATCGTTGAGAATCAGTTTCTTGTTGTACTACCATCGGAATTTTTAAAGAAGACATAAGAAATGTTTTCTTCCACACGCCTTCTTTAAAAATTCCGATAGTTGTTTGATCAAGATTCTTTTATCATTTCTCACTTTTTTTTATTTCAAACAATTTATTTGACAGGTTATACAATTAATTTACATGCTCAAGTTACGAAAATCGTTGAAAGCGCAAAATCAAGATATACAACAGCATCCTTTAGTGTGAAAAATTGCATTTGTACGAAATGGATCACGTTAATTGAATTCTGCTTTTTCATTTTTATTTAATCTCGAAATAATAAAAATCTTTTAAAGAAAAAGCTTTCTTGATGGCATCGGCAGACTAAATCAAAACATGTTAGTTGAGAAGCGAGTGTATTGATATTTTATAAGAAAAAAACAACACGCAAAATAAGTATAATGTAATATTATTATTTAGTTAATGAATTAAGCTGAGTGAGAATACATTGATAGAGATTTGGAATGAGACGAACTAATCGTTTTTCAAAATGTTCATTCTGTTGGTGCTTTAGTGAGTTCATTTGTTATAATACAAGTACGAAGACCATTTTGAGGGATGAGTGTGGGTATAAGTATCATATTCACACCCTCATCCACACCCTGAAAATCATTATGGTAAAAAAATTTATTAAAAGACAATACAAGCTAAATAAAGCTCTAAATTCTTTAAAATATTCCTTTCGAGGATATGTATGAGAACTAGTATTATGAGTTTTGGGTTTATGTGTTTTATCTCATAAAAGAGAATGTAGGTGACGTGCTCTTATTCTTTCCAAACACTCACCCACACCCACAGCCACCTTCAATACAAATAATTTTGTATCAACTTTTCTTTTCATTATTTTAAATCCATAAATGAGCAAAAGATTTCGAGTGATTAACCACTCATAGGTAATATACAAACTTATTAACTATTCGATAAATATATTATTGTTAGTCAGTGAAATCGAATGGATTTAATATTGACTTACATACACTGTAAAAATCTAAACAAAACCCTTACATATTGAAATATAGTAAATATTATTTATAATAATTCATTTATTTTTCTATAATAAATTAATCTTCCAAGAAATAACAAAATGACGATTTCATGGTTTTCAGACATTGCTGAACATTTATGATTGTCTTAGAAAACAATAGAATAACAAGGTCATTTAGCCATTGAATTGACATAAAAGACTGTACTACATCCCCCTCCTCCTGCTTTACTTCATAATTTATATTTCAAATATTTAATAAATTTCATATAAAGCAAAAATAATCTGTAAATAAAAAGAAGTACGAATTAATATTTTGTAGTTATACTAGCATGAATAAATATAAAAAAATCATCACAGGGTTTAATTTTTATATTCACAATGTATCATAGTGTCACTCTTTTTTCTTAGTTGCTTGAATAAACCGATCATGAACAACACAACTTATAGCTGAAAGACCAACAAAAAAATAACCAAATCCACGACGAAAAAGATTTTTATATAACCAACCAACACCAGGTATTCCATCGATCATATCCGCAAACGACCTAAAATATTAGAGATTATTAAATTTATAAAATAAAAATTCAAATAATAACAGCAAACGAACCACATTTCTTCATGTCGAAATATTTCAAATTGTGGCTCATCAATATTTTGACTATTTATTAAACGAAATTCATAAACAAATATTGAACGTAATGGATATGTATAAATCCATGAAAATTGTTGTAAATTCATGATACCATCAACAATACAACGTCCTGTCATTCCATCATCATTTAATTTAACATTTAATTGGAAGGTATCGAATGTAAAATGAAACATATTATGAAAACCTATAAAAATTAAATTTAAAAAATAAAAATTTAAATAAATTACCCTTCATTCCAATTCTATAGAGTTGTTTATTGCCACCTTCTTGCCATGGATCTTTAAAAATAATATCATCAGCGATATAAGGTAATACTTGTCGATCGAGTAAAGCACCAGGTACACTTGTTGTATATAATAATTGTGTAATAGTAGTAAATTGACGTTCTAATTGACTGATAAGTTTTGTTTGACTTGCAGAATTCTTTGGTCGAAATGCTATACTTTCAGACATTTTAAAGATAAAAATGAGAACAAAGTTTAATTTTTTATTTTATTTTACATATAGAAAATTAGTATTGGAAATTTCATGATCAAATAATAATGAATACAAGGATTGACCGTCTTTATTTTTTGTCAATGCATGACATCTGTTGATAATTCAATCCTTCGTGAATTCATTCATTATAAATATTATTAAAAAAATTTATTCTATTTATTTGTCACTTAATCAATAGAAGAGTGTTCGTTGAATTCATACAAATAATATGTTTATTCAATGTCATGTGTTAAAAAGAAATTATTTCCAGTTGATTAGATCAACTTATAAATGTTTTACACTATGGTAAAAAAGACAATGAACTCAACTCTTTATTACATTTATATTAAAAAGAAAACTATAGATTATATTTATCTAATAAATTATCGTGTATTATAACGCATCAATTGATGATGCGTAATATAGTATATTCAATGTTATTGATGCGTATTTTTATAAATATGAAATTGCTATTAATTTATTCTCATCTATATATATTATCATTGATACATACAACAAAAAAAATAATAAAGTGTTATAAAATTTTACAATCTCTTATTTGATATCGATACAAAATTTATGATCTATGTAGTACATTAGTCGATGTTAGGCTTTGGTGTTTTGTTGATAAGTTTATCTCTATTCATTGATATTTAGTATCCATGTCACGTTTCTTCATTATCGTTCTGATAGTACGCATAATTGATGAATCAACCAACTAATATGTTTTCTCAAGGACAACGAGAAGGTTTTTATCATCGTTATCGGATAATTTCTCTATCAATTAATGAACAAGTCGATGTCTTTCATTGTCATTAGATAGTTCCTTTTTTGGCTTTTAATGATCTACGTAAAACGTCAATGACATACACATCATGATGAATGTTTATATTATCGAAAACATATTTATCGCTGGGTAAAAGAGAAAAGAAAAAGAAGAAATGGTACGATCTTGAAATAAATTCTGAACATCTTGTTAGACGAGCAAAAAAAAAGTTTCAATAGAAAGAAAAAAGAAACCCTTCAAATTTTGAAGTATAGTAAAATAAAATGCATCTTATGTGTATGTGCATGCATGATGATGTTTGTCTTTCATCACCTTTTCTTCCCGTATATAGATTTCAATACTGATGACATGTTTCAATCAAAAGTGTACATGTACACCTGAAGCAAGAATATTATTCTACCAATCATCAAACCTTCTTATAAGTATGTATGGATATATGTGTTCCGTACATATATGAAGGAAAGCAATTGAGATTAAAAAGTATAGTAAATGTATGTTATGAAAAAAAAAGAAAAATTGTTAGCAGACAAAAATTTGAATTCTTTATTTATTTTTAGACATTATTAAAATAAGAAATAATATTCCATCTTTATTCCTTTTTTTTCTCTTATCTATCAAATTCAAATATTGCCCTAAGGTTTAATACAAAAACTAACAAATTAGATCATTATCATATGTATACCTATTCAATTTGATGCATATAACCGCCATCGGCTTCCAACACGTATTCGTTAGTTTTATTATTATTATTATTAGTGCCCTCGCGCATCAGTCACTGTTCTTGACAAAGAAGATATCATTATCATTCTTAATATACCCACGCACGCATACATACACACACACACACACACACACACATACGCATACATATTCATTCAGAACGCGTACGATTATAGGTTCTTTTGGCATGCGTACAAATTGGAAAATGCTGTGCGAAGCATCATATGTAATGTCTGATAAGACGTGTATGATTGCCGGACAATGGTAGTAGTGTAAACGAGCACCGTATGTAGTATTGTATGAATGAAGTAGTTTTAAAACAAAACAAAAAGATGAAGATAGAAATAAAGAACATATATCTATAAATATTTATGTATATAAAGCACGAGAGCAAACGAAACGGACGGTAAATTAAAAAAGAAGAAGAAAGAAGAATTGAAAACGAACTTAAATATATTGTGGAATTAAACTGCTATTCGATGATGATGATAATGAAAATGTACGACGTGTAAATGTATCTGCTATAGGAGATAATATAGATGGATAAATCTGTTGATTTTGTTGTTGAAAAACATCACCAGTATCGTAAGAAAGTAAAGCTTGATTAAGTGCTTCAAATGAAAAAGGAAATTTTGACGAATTATGAGATTGATCTGAATATGTTGTATAATCACTGTTCATACGATTTCTATATGTATATAAATATATATAGAGAGAGAAAAAGATTCGTTTTTTTTATAATTAAAATTATGTTAAATAAATACCTTGCTGTTGATTTTTGTGGTGATTGAGTTGTTCGTACATCGGAATGTCGTCGTAAAGTTGATGAATCATCTGTGTCTATTGCTGTTCGTGCTTCATGAGTATCATGAATGAAATGACATCGAGGTCCATATGGACAATAACCAGCTAGAAATTATTTTGAAAAACGATTCATTTTTAATAATAAGCAATAAAGTTATTATTTACTTGTATGAAATGTACGACAATATTCTGTTTTATATTTTGGATGGCGCATCAAAATTCTTAATTCTTTTATTCCATGTGAAAATTGGCATTTATCACCATATTTGCATTTACCAGTTTCTGTAAATGGTCGACATAATTCTGTTTTATACCGTGTAACACATACATGCGATTGTGTTATTGATGTTTTAGCAGTTGGTGTTGATGGTATTCTCATTGGTTGATGTTGTTGTTGTTGTTGTAGTACTATATCAGTTATTGGTACTCGTGGAGATGATAGAGAAGATGTTGATGATCCTGATGATGAATAACAAGATGAATTTGAATCCATGCTTGGCATTGCTATTTATATCTTAAAGGAATCAAGATTATTAATAGTTACATATGTATTTTTTTTATTTTCATATAAAAAAAAACTTTAAAGGAAAAAAAAACAAGAACGAATGCACAACGAAGCGTGTTGTAAGATGAGAAGATGTAAAATGTGTGTGTGTGTAGAATGTAGATATTATTATGCGTGCATAGCGTATAGTAGTAGTTGAGAGAAGAGAATACCAAAGACAAAGAGAGAGAGAGAGAGAGAGAGAGAGAGAGAGAGAGAGAGAGAGAGAAGGAGAGAGAGAACAGAACAGATCGAGTAAACGTCATAGCGAAGACAGCATAAAAGGAATGGAACGAAAGGAAGAAGGGTAAAGAGCAATAGTTTGCAACAGCGAAACTTCATGATTAGTGTATAAATGGGCACTTTCTCTCTTTCTCGCGCTTTTTCATGCCAGTTTTTTTTACAGAATCTAAAGGAGAAGAAGAAGGAGAAACGAAAATAATGAAGATGAGATGAAAATATACAGTAGTATCCATTTCGAATACAAAGATGTGTGTAAAATTTATTTATTTTTTCTTTCTGTTATTTTTTTTTGCAGGCATCGGTCAACAATCTTTTTTTTTCTTTTTGCTATTACCGATCTTTATCAGATTTTACATTCTTATGACCGGAAGCAACGAGTGTCATGCTGCGCTATTCACTCAGTACTACTTAGTATTCGTCTTTGTTTCGATTAGTATTGAGTGCATTTACACAACATTTATAAGAGACCGACGGGTTTTTTTTTTAAAACAAAGTTCACTTATATTCTAGATTCTTTTTTTCTTTTTTTCTCGTTCTTTCCCACTGACTGTGTGTATATGTCAAAAAAAAAAGTAAAGAAAAAGAAAAAAAATAGTATGTATGTATGAAGTCATAATGGTGTAATTACAATTTTCAATTTTCATTTTCGAGGATCAAGTAAGATCAATATGCATATACTTACACTTAATTGGTAATATTGAACACAATAGATTTGTCTATAAGAATAAGAAGTAGATAAAAGAAAAAGACATAAAGAAGGAAGGAAATATCTTTATAATATTGACTTTTATTCTTATACTTTTCGTAAAGGCCTTGACTTTACATAAAGAATGTGAGAAAAAAAAAAGAAACGAATAAACGAGAATATGGATTTTTTGGCATCGACCATGTGTGATGTGCAACTCGTAAAAATGTATATGACGAGAGTAATGAAAGATAAAATAAAAAGCACACTCACGCTCATTCACAGGATCAAACGAATAAAAAATAGTATGTATATATATACACATACATACTCAGGATATTATCTATATGTATATTAAGTATTACCATTAGTATATGCAATATCTCTGTTTGATCTCAGCATGAAAAACGAACTTCAGTGTTATTTTGACAGTTATTAGACATATCGTCTATATTCAATTAGCTTGTTATTGCCATTCATACACTTGATGTATATATATATATATACATTAGACTTACATTCTTAGAGAATAACGAGAAAATATCTATGACTCATAGTGACTCAATCTTGTCGACCGTCGGCAAACACATACAATTGCAAATCGATAATTGCGTACTTAATGATAAGCGCAAAAAACGATTTTTCTTTCTTTCGAACAATCGAAATCTGGTGTACTGTCGAGGGTTAAATAAAATATTCGTTGATGGAAGTTATATGTATGGCAACAGACGTTTGTGTACTTTTCAACATCGATTGATGTGCTGCTTTGCATCAACTTGCCAGTCAATAATACTTATTATTAGCTTAATACTGGTAAATATACAAGGACATAAAATTTATCAAGACATATAGTTTAGAAAAAAATCTTCGTAAAATTTCAATAAACACTACTATCAATAATATAATAATTTTCTCATTTTTTTTTCTTCTTCTTCTTTTCAATATATTACAATCAATTGAATACAAAGACATACTATTTACGACCGTAAAGAACCGTAACTTATCACTTTAATAGCTGTCATAATATAGCTATATATTACGATACGGTAAAAAGAATACAAATATAAAATACTCTACACGTTTTTTGTTTGTCATATAACAAAAATGATAAAAAAAATTCATGTATATTTGACTTTGGGGAAATAAACTAGATACTGACGTTTCATGTTTGATATAGATCATTTTCTTATCAAAAAATTGTAATATTTATTATGTGTCTTATGATATTTATTATTTTCATTTTTTTTCGAAGATATGATAGATTATAATCTGATTGGATCTATCAAATGTTTGAAGTACAATAGAGTATCTTTAATTCATAGATATTTTCGAACTCTGACTTAATGATTTCATAAGATACGAACATGCATGTATGTATATAAAATGAATCAACTGTCATGTGAATAAGATACATCTGTTTGCATTCGTATATTGCAATAATCTATCTAGCAAAAGCAAGCAATACGAAATAATTTGTTTTGGAAGTTGATAATAAAATTGTTTTTCTCTTAATATGCAATAATAATGATATTTATATTTATATATTTATTTGTGTTTATAAAACAACTGAATGAAGTAAGCTCTTCTAGTCTGTTATCAATTCCAAGCGAAATTAGAAATCCATCTGATGATATAAATATATCAGATGTAAAACAAGCTCGTAATCGTGCTAATGTACCTCAATCTTTAACATTACTCATGAATTTTAGAGATGATGGTACAACATCATTTCAAATTATGCAAGGTATATTGAGTAATAATTTAATTGTTGAAATTTAATTTTTTATTGTATAGGAAATCAAGTTGTTTATTTGGACAATGGATATTGTCAAGTTGGACAATTATTTGATCCAACAACAGGTCAATGTCGTGATATGTATTGTCAAGAACCTAATCATACATATAATGGTACTGCATGTATACCAGATGATAGTAGAAAAACTCCAAATGTACATAAACCTATGAGTGATATTGATCTATCATTGATATTGAATATTTCACCAAGTGATCATTATCAAAGAGGGAATTATTCTAAACGTCTTAACGGTCGTATGCATGAACTTTGTACTACTAACTGGAATCAAATACTTCATCATACATTACATAGTAAGTTTATACATTTGATTACAAGATAGATTATTAAGAATTTTTATTTCTTTAGACTATCTTGGTATTGATTATGAACGTATTACTAAAACGCGTTATCATGTAAATCAAGATAATAATCATTTAATTAGTAATTTAATGAAAAATTCTACTGTCCATAATGAAAGTACATCAGGAATTCTTCCACATAATTCATCACATACTATTATTAGAAATGCACTTTTAAATAATCAATCTGTGACAATAAAATTTTATTTTACAATAAATGATCGATTTCAAGATTCAAATGATACATTAACAAGTTTACATGTTGTTACTCTTCTTTTACTTGCATCTGAATTTCATGTTGTACTTGATTTATGTAATAATTATTCAATGAAAGTTGAAACATTATCAATTATTTCTGATAGAAATAAAACTCAACATGAATTTTGTAGTGATTCAGATGTAATGTATCAATCAAGAAATGGTATTATAAAACGACGTGTACGTGCAGATGGTGAAATTGATTATGTTGTTGAGATACCTGAACTTGAAACAACATATGAAAGTGGTGATTATGTTTATCTATTCCTAATTTCAACATTAACACAATCACAAACATCTACAGGACAAACGGTAATAATGTTTAAATTTAATTTCTGTTACAGTGACGAGAACGAATTAGCAACTAGATCTTTACACATATAAATAATAAGAAAAAGAGAGATAACTTTTAATTATTTAGCCACAAATTACTGATAATTCTTCATCATCAAATCCAACTTCAACAAATAAACTAGTATCTGTATGTAATCGTCAACCGCGAATAGTTGGTCGTTGTCCTGATAGTCTTGTTATGCGTATTGCACTTTGTGAAGTAATTCAATATAAAAATTTTTCAATGCGAATTAAACGTACTGGTCGTTTATATACAAATCGTGAATATCGTTATGATGATTATCGACCAGATTTATATGTTGTTGTATGTAAACATGATACTTATAATCAAACAAATAGTGGAAAAACACCTGGTTTTGTTGAAAAAGCTCCTGGAATTCTTTCAACAATAGCAACATTTCTTTCTATATGTGCATTAGCTATAACTTTAATTACCTTTGTATTATTTTCTTCATTACGTAATTTACCTGGATGTAATACAATGAATTTAATTATTGCTTTAATGATAGGTGAAGCTTTATTTTTAAGTCAAAGTTTAATAACAATGACAAGATCAAGTGTTTGTTTAATATTTGCATTAGGTATACATTTTTTCTATTTGGCTAGTTTCTTTTGGATGAATGTTATGGCATTTGATCTTTGGAAAACATTTCATAAAGGTTTTTCACTTTACATTCGTGATATTCATGAACGCTTACCATTTTATGCTTTATATGCATGGGGTATGCCTGGTATTATTGTTTTAATTGGAATTATATTAGATGCAAAAAATGCTTCATTAAAACCATGTTATGGAAGATTTTTTCGTGGATGTTACGATGTATGTTTTCGAACTAAAAACGATACGCCATTACAAGGTTAGTAGAGTTTATTCTATCTATAATCGAACTAATTATATCAAAAGATAATATAATACTGTTCTAATTATGACTTTTAGGATGTTGGATTGAATCAGCTCTAATGCGATTAATATTATTCGGATGTCCGGTGGCAATTATTCTTATTATAAATTTTATTTTTTATACCTTAACTGTTCGAAGCATTCGACAAGCTTTAAAAAATGGTAAAACGAAATTCGATTCTTTCCTTTTTTTGTTTTATTATTTTGATTTTCTTATAGTACGTGTTCATGTTGAACATAAATTTCAACGTAAAAATCAAGTTGTACCCGGTGAATATGATGTTAAAATTTATATGCGTATGGCTGTATTAGCTGGTTTCGGTTGGACAATTGGTTTTATTTTGATTATTTTACCTGATGGTCAAGAAAATTATAAACGTTATCTTGCTGCAACATTTAAATATTTATTTATTCTTCTTAATGCAACGCCTGGTTTATTTATATTCGTTGTTTATGTATGTAATCGTCGTGTATTATCTCTATACGGTCAATTATTAAGACAAATTTATGAATTTTTTCAATTAAATTCTAAACGATTCAAAGAATATATATTCAATCATAGTCAAAATTATTTAAATAAAACCAAAAATACATTAGAAATATTCAATAAAAATGAATATAAAGTAACACAAGAAGATATACCAATAAATAAATTAACAATAATATCGAAAAATAAATCCGATGATGTTATTTATAAAGCAACATTTACACGTAAACTATCAGAACAACATAATCCAACATCATCATGAAAACAATCAAATTAAACTGAAACAGCTAATATATGAGTATGTAAATGCCAAGTTTTTGAATTATGTTTTTTTTTCAATATATAAATAAATAAACATCTATTCGGTTTCTAATTTTATCTTATTCTTAAAATAGTTGTTGTCTAACTCATATGTCACCAACACTCCATTAGTCAACTTTTCATAGAAAGAAGATTGGTAATGATTTATGATATCATTATCTTTATCAGACATGTAAGATAAAATTGATGATACTAGTTACAATATATGTTCTGAATAAAACAAATTATATCAATCTATGACGTATGCATCTATGATACATAAAACTTATAAATGAAAATTTATTGATCATATCTAATACAATACAAAGTTAGAATAATTCACAGACTGTAATAAATTCTTTAAAAGAAAAATAGAAATTTTGAAAAATGTTACGGTCGTTTTGAGACAATATTAGATGGTTCAATGATATACAGTGCTGTTGGATTGTCTCTTCTATGTGATTTCGTTTGTAATTGTTTACAGATCGTATGAATAGAATCTAGAAGAGTTTTTCGTAAACTTCGGCAACTTAAAAAACATGCATAACCAGTAATTGCATGATTTAACATTTCAAGACCTAAGGATACAAATAAGATAATATTAAAAATTCAAAAAACAAATAATATTACCTTGAAATGTATGAAATACTATTGCAATAATTGTATTATTAACATCTTTTGGATCAACGTAGAGATTACAAAAGACAATAAATGAACGTGGTGCAACAAATATTGAAAATACAGTAAGAAAAAGAAGAATCCATATTGATTCTGCTATTTTTTGACTTGTAATCGATGGTAAATGTCGAAGTTTATATAGAAGAATTGTATTAAAAATAATTAATAATGTTACTGGTAAAAGATCATCAATGATAATATAACTCATAATAATAAATAAAGCACCATCAAATAAATATTGACCATAATAAAAATTAGGATTAGGTATAGCCATAAGAAATAAACGAACAGGATCAAGATGTATTGATAGATAACGATTCGGTATTAAATTTGGATGTTGACTAATTAAAGTACAAATAAATAAGAATAAAATTAAATATAATATACGTTTTTGTCTTGAACGTTGAATATTTGTTGTATTTTTTGAATTAATATTATAACGATTTGAAATCCAATATTTAACAGCAAGTAATCTTTCAATTGCTAAAAATACTTTCAACCAATTTGTAATATTTTTTGAATATCGATAGAAAAATATATAAATAGTTGCAGTTAATAAATTTAATGGTATAAGCTGTGCTTGAAGAAGATAATAATATGCCGTAGAAATTAAACGAACGATATCGAATATAGCAATAAAAAATAGAAGTAAACCATAGGAAAAACGAGAAAATGATGAACGATAAATAGCAAATATAAGTACAGTATTTCCAAGAATACCAAATATAATACAAAAAATACTAACTATTTGACCAACATGAAAAGCAATTAAAACTGATTGTGGAGGTTCTAATATAATATTTGAATTTCTTGTATCATTTATTGTCTCGTTCATCGGAAATAAACACGGTATTTTAAAAGAAAATTCTTCACCAACAGACATCGTATTCAAAAAATTCAAGAAGATGATGTGTGCAATACTCTACAATGAAAAATAGCATTTAATATCATTTCTATATAGGAAAAAAAAAGAATTCTGAAATATTCATCAAACTTAGTTTTTTTTATGATTAAAGAAAAGAAATTCCAGACATGTTAATTTTGTTATCTCGCTGATGATTTTAATATAAAATTCTTTTTTTTGTAATAAAAAGAAAAAACACCGCTTTTTATTTCTATTGGATTATAATACTGGAATGTAATATTTCTAAGTCATGTGTATATGAAAAGAGAAAAATAAAATTATATTGTGGAATAATTTAACAATCTTGTCAAAGAATTAAAGTCATATAGAACTATTTAATAGAAAAATTCATGAAGAAAAAAGGAAAAGAAAGACATGACATTATGTAGTGACAGATATCTAGTATGACTTTTAGTATTTTACATGATTTTTAAAATAAAAATATGTTTGTAAACCGTATATGGAAAGCGTTTCTTCTCTGTCTAAATTTATATGATTCATAATGACATTCTTATAATTATAAACTTCATTAAAACAGAATACTTCAAGCTAGAAAAAAAAGATAATTACGTTCTTGTCTAGAAATTTTCTTTTTTATATAAAATTCATTATGATAAAATAATGTCTAAGTGTAATGTCAACTACAGAGAGGGAGACTCGAGGAAACTTCACATGATCTTTATTATAATATTTAGCGTTTCAATGAGTACAGACTTTGAATTATTTATAATAAGTAGCAAAAAATGTCACTTAAGAATAAATACAAAAAGTTCTTACTTCTAATTAGCTTTTTATTTGTAAAAAAGAAGCTCATATTTAGCGAGAAAATGATCTTTACATATACAACCAAGACTACTTGATTGAGAAGAGTTTTATTGAAATATCAAATTATATTCATGTTTGATTATATTTAAACGAAAAAAAAAGAATATAAAGTGAAGATTTTTTTTTGAAAAGAAATATTTAAGTTTCATTATTATTTAAAAAGAATTTTTAATCAATTTATCATGTCAACTTGATAGTTCTTAAATTGTTGAATGCATCAAAAGGAGAATAATAGAAGTTCATGAATATTAACAATCGCTTTCATTTCTGAAAGTATTACATGGAATTAAACTTTAATAACTAAGAATGTAAAGCTAAGTTATTGTAATTATATATATAATAATTTAATTGTATGTTCTATTCAACAAGTAATTGATCAAATGAATTTACTTTGAAATCTTGAATAGTGCCTGTATTGCTACAATTTATATTATGATGCATATAACTAATTATTAAGTTTAAAAATCTTTATTAGTCACCTGATGATCAAGATTTCTTACAAAGATTACGAAATTACATTGTAATTGACGAGTTCGATTCGAATACGTGTGAAAAAGTTATTGAATAAAAACCGGTTACGGCCATACCACGTTGAATACACCAGTTCTCGTCCGATCA